CCGGGTTTGGGGTGGGACGGGGGGATTTGGGGCGAGAGGGCGCTGGGCTCGCTTTTGCTGTCGAGCTGGTGAGATGGCAATTTCAGCCGCTCACCACAGCAACTCGGCCAGCTCCTCGCTGCGACGCCGTTCTCTTCATCTTAAAGGTCTTTTCCAGCCTAAACGATTTTATGATTCTATGATCCTGGGTGGTGCCAATTGAATGGTTTCTATTTTTTTCAATTATTATTAATTTTCCCCATTCCCCCTCCCTCCCGCGAAATGGGGCATTTGAAGCTTTTTTTTGCTGGCGGTGTGGTGCCAGCCCATGCGTCCCATTACCCCCAGCATCGCCCACCAGCTCTGTGATCCCGGTGGGGCCGGGTTTGCAGAGGAGCCTGGAGCCCGGTTTGGTGCTGTGGGGTTTTTTTTGGACCGGTTCTCATGGCTGTGCCCCTCTCTAGGGCTCCTACGGGGTGGTGAAGCTGGCCTACAATGAGGATGATAACACCTACTATGTGAGTAGCACGCATCCCCAGAGCCCGCAGCGAGGTGGACGGGATGGGGGACGGGGACGGGGACAGATCCTCTCCGCTGACTCCCTACGCAGCTCCGTGCCAGCCCCATTTTATCCTCGATTTGCCCCAAATCCCACATTTTTTTTCCCCTCTTGCAGGCAATGAAGGTTCTCTCCAAAAAGAAGCTGATGAGACAGGCAGGCTTCCCCCGTAAGTGGTGCAAAATGGTGGGAGGGTGGGAGATGATCTGGGGATGCTGGGGGCTCGTTCCCAACTGGACATCCCGTTCTTTGCCTTTCCCGCAGGTCGTCCGCCGCCCCGCGGGGCCAAAGCTGCCTCCGAGGGCTGCCTGCAGCCCAAAGGGCCCATCGAACAGGTCTACCAGGAGATCGCCATCCTGAAGAAGCTGGACCACCCCAACGTGGTGAAGCTGGTGGAGGTGAGCACCAGCCAGCCCCTTCCCAAAACCCACCCCGAGCGTGAAGGAGCCTGGATGCTGCGGGGATGGGCTACACGTTGGCTTGGGTGGAGGGGAGCGACCGCAGCACGTTGGCGTGGGTGGAGGGGAGCGACCGCAGAGGGGCTGGGATGGCCATGGCACGTCCTGCCTACGGGAGACTTGTGTTTTCCCTGGTTTAAAAGGTTTTTTTTATTCCCACCTCCCAAATGAGGACTTTTTTTCTTCCCTGCCCAGAAAGGAAAATGCAGAAAAATGTTGCTTCCTTGGAGAAAACAAGTGCTCAGATGGGTTTTGGGGAGGAATTGGTGTTTCTGCAGGTTCTGCGGTGCAGCTGCCCTGCCCTCCGCCCACTGACTGTATGATACGGGCCAAAAATCAAGAATTAAGGATGTGCAGGCTGGAGTTTATTTGGCTTATGAGTCAGATGATGCTTCCTGTGTGTTTTAAATATTTACTTCCTTGAAGTACAGCTATATCTCTGTCCTCTTTTTTTTTTTTTCTCCCACCCCTTGTGGGTAGAAGCTCGGAGATTAGCAGACCATGCTAATGGTGCAGATTTGAGATGGCCACTAAATAAAAAAATCACAGTGCTTAATTTGCAAGGTTTTTTTGGTACTGTTTAATTTCCTTTCTGCTTCTTTTGGCAGGTCCTGGATGACCCCAGTGAGGACCACCTGTACATGGGTAACTGTCCACTGCCCTGCAGTGCTCGTGGGGTGTCAGGGAGGTTGGGGTTTGCCAGGACAAAGGGTTTCCCCCACGTTTTGGGGTGGCTGCGTGGGGGGTTGGGTCTCTTCTCTGGAGCGGGTATGGCCTGGATGTGCTGGAGGAGCAAATCCCCTTTAATGGTCAGAGCAAGCAGGATCCAGTCTGGGTTCAGAAAGGAGACAGGAGTGCTTTATAGCACTTTGTAGGCTCTAATTGGAGATCAGGGCATGCTTTGCCATGAGATGTACCAGCATTTATGTTCTCAGCTCTGAAGCCGGGCTTCTAGAAAGCAACTTTGTCTCCTTGGCTTTGAGAACAAGGCACGTGTTAATTATCCATGGTGCAAACGAGCTCCTTCCCAACCTGTCTTGCAGACTGCAGTGGTTTGCTCGATGTAACTACACATGCTTCTGGAGGAGGCATTTCTTTTCCATCATTTATGTTCAGCCCATACTAGGGGAGCAGCGATGCCTTCATGGCCGAGCGCAGAGGTTTGCTTGGGGCATGGGCTCGGCCCTGGTTTTGCAGGCAAATGGAGGGCTTCAGTGTGCCGTGCGGAGCGCACTTCATGGTGCTGAAGCTGCAGCACTGAGAAGGCAGTTGGCAGCGTTCCCTTAACTGAAAATGGAAGCAACCAAAATGCCATGTGCCTTGCATAAGATGGCATCTCTTTTTTGAAAAAAATACTGGTTTTAGAATTTTTGTCATTGAAATAATTGCTTTTTTGCTGAGACTGTGCTCGCAGGAGATCTAAACTGTAAGTGATCCGTAATCACCTTCTCTTTTGTGTTTCAGTGTTTGAACTGGTGAAGCAAGGGTGAGTATTGAATTCCAGATTTAAACCTACTAAAGCATGAATGTGAGACGGGTTTGCGGGTGGCACAGCTCGGCCACCTGAGGCAGGCGCAGGATGCAGAGGCGATGGGGAGGTTTGTGGTGGGTGCCCTACAGGTTTGGGTAGCATCTCCCCAACCCACCTACAGTTGTGTACAACCCCTACGTGCTTGCATTTGGGGCCGCATGCTGCTGCCAGCCGGCAGCAAAGCCTCTGGGACCTGTTTCAGTGCATCCGGATGGGGAACAAGCTCCATTCTCTGTTGCCTTTGCAGCCCCGTGATGGAAATCCCAACCTTGAAACCTCTCAGCGAGGACCAGGCTCGGTTCTACTTCCAGGATCTGATCAAGGGCATTGAATACTGTGAGTGTCTGTGCAAAAAGGGTGGGATTTCTTATTTTTATTTTTCTCTAAACACCTGGACCTGGACTTTCTGCTGCTGTACGGTGCCGTTTCTGGTGGCTCATGCTGCTGCAGAGGGGTTCTTGAAGCTGGGGCTGGTCATGGTGTTAGCAGAAAGGCTTACAGCCATGCAGGGGCTTCGTGGCTCTTTTGCTGCAGACCAGCGCTGCCGCTGAATCGCTTGTTTTTCCTTCGGCTGCCGTGCAGTGCACTATCAAAAGATAATCCACCGGGATATTAAGCCTTCCAACCTCCTCGTGGGGGAAGATGGGCACATCAAGATTGCTGACTTTGGAGTGAGCAACGAGTTCAAGGGAGCCGATGCCCTCTTAACCAACACGGTGGGCACCCCTGCCTTCATGGCCCCAGAGACGCTCTCAGAAACCAGGAAAATCTTCTCCGGAAAGGTATTTAATAGCAATTTGAGGGGTTTTGGACTAATCTTTGTTGCACGCCATCTGTTGCAGATCTAACTATGCTTTCTTTGCTCTGCAGGCTTTGGATGTCTGGGCCATGGGGATCACGCTGTACTGCTTCGTGTTTGGGCAGGTAATGAGATTGATTTTTCAGCGCTGTCGGTGGTCCGGGGGGGTTTGGCGTGTGCCTCCCATGTGCCAGGTGCATCGTGGGATTTGCACCCTGCACCCCTGTTCAAGCATTTGGGTATTGCCAAAGGGAGACGGAGATGTGTGGGTGGAAATGGGAAATCTCTGCCTGTCTGTGGGATGGGTGCAGCCAAAAAGAGCCATGTTTCTCTTTTTCCCTGGGGAAAAAATTCTGTGCCTGGCCAGATTTTTTAGGAAAGGAGCTGTTGTGGTAATTTGGTCATTTTTAGTCAAATGTTATTTTCACTGCGTTTAAAAGAAGACATTGATATAGTAGGAAATCTAGTTTTTCCCTATAACTGGCTCCTTACCCTCCTTCAAACCCTATGAGATCCCAGTGCTCAACTGGCTGCCCCACTGCTGCTTCTTAACAGAGGTTGTTGCTTTTATCATTGCTCTTTTTCTTCACGGTAGTGCCCTTTTATGGATGAAAGGATCCTGAGTTTACACAATAAAATCAAGACCCAGATGTTGGAGTTCCCAGACCAGTAAGTACTCAAAAAAAAAAAAAAAAAATCCCAACCCCTCAGCCCTTATTTTAAAGCTTGCTTGAGCCATTTCTCAGGAACTGCCTGGGTGGGGCTGGCCCTGCTCCGCTGCAGTTTTGTAAAACTCGGGCTCTGAGCCCTTCTGTTGGCCCTCGGCCCTGGAAAACTGCTTTGCATTAAATGTGAAGGCAACATCTCCTGGTTTGCAGTTGCCAAAGAAGGAGCGATTGAAGTTGCAGAGGCGTTTGAGGGAGCGGATTAACCTCTGCAGTTGCTGCCTCTTGGGTTTTAGCCTGGGTGGAGTTGGTGTCAGGCTCTCCTAGCCCTGTACATGTGGGATCATGCTTTGGATTGCCCAAGAAGGGGATATTTTGCTTCCCTGGGGAGTTTAGAGAGGAGGGGCTGTGTGGCACCTGGGTGCACGAGTACCTGGAGCTGCATCCCTGCCAGGGCTGGGGTGCAGCCCCAATCTGCCCAGGAAGGCCCACAGCAGCTGGCACTGGGGTGAAGAAGGGAGGCAGCATCCATCCCCTTCCCCATCTCATCTCTCCCCTCTCCTTTCCCCAGGCCAGAAGTTACAGACTTCTTGAAGGATTTGATTACACGGATGCTGGATAAAAATCCTGAATCTAGGATTTCGGTCCCAGAAATCAAGGTACTGACCCAACCCCCTGGTGTTGGCTGTGGCTTCACTTCTGTTGGGTTCTCCTTGCTTGGCTTTTTTTGGGAGTCAGTTTGATCGCGCCAGGCTAGGTCCTCCCCCTGTGCCCAGGGCCCCTGGGCAGGTAAGTCCCAGCTCCTTCCCCTGCTCCGGGACTTGCTCAGCTTTGGGACCTTTGGTGCCTACAGAAGTCGCAGGCAAAAGGAAATCCCCTGAGTACAGTATTCCCTCTGCTACCAGGAAAGTACTGTGCAACAGCCTTTCGCAGGAGATTTCTGTTCCTCCGCCCCTGCAGGAACCTGGAAGGGGCGAGAAGCTGAGAAAATGGAGACTAAGGTAGGGGGAAAGGATTGCGGGGGTCTGAACCGTTTTGTGCTCCTCCTGCAGCTGCCCAAGACACCAGGTGTGTGGGCAAGGAGAAGGAGGGATTTCTGCCTTCTGTCATGGATTAATTCAGGTCCAAGACTAGGGCTCGGTGGGTTTTCCCATCACTACTGCTCATACGTGTGGTCTGGAATAAATCGCTCCTGCCTCTTGGCACTGTCTCATCTGTAAGATGAGGGTGAAAATAGGTCTTCTTCCCTAAAACCCGCTGAGATGCCCGGTGCTGTAGGTCACCCAGGTTATTGCTCGGTTGCGTAGATGGGGCCAGCGCTGGCTCCAGATGAGCTGCGCAGCGGCATTTTCTGCTCCGGGCTGAGCCGTTCCCAGCGGCGCCGGGGTGAGCTGGCTCGCCAGTGAGATGGCACGTCTCTCCCCTGCGCCCTGGTATTTCAGGAGCACGTAGGGGCCGTAGCTTGGGCGGAGAGATGCGTTTGCCAGGCTTGTGTTGTTTGAGTTACGAAAAAGAGGAAATCATTCCTGACAGGCTGTGTTATTAATTGAAGTTGCACCCTTGGGTCACCAAGAACGGAGTGGAGCTGCTGCCCACGGAGGATGAGAACTGCACCCTCGTCGAGGTGACGGAGGAGGAGGTGGAGAATTCGGTCAAGCATATCCCCAGCCTGGCCACTGTGGTGAGTACGAGGGAGGCGATGGTTTGCGGGCACACACCGGCGCCCACGCTGCCTCCCGGGGCGGTCCCGAGCAGCTGGAGGTTGCTGCTGAAGGGCAAAAGTGTTGGGCAGGATTAGAGCAAAGATCTTCCCTCTCTGAGAAACAAGCGCTGCAAGACAGGGTGTCAGCATCTCGCTGGAGGCAGCTGTACCCCGCGGTGCGGGTGAGTGTTTCAGAGCACTCCCAAAGCGACCCATCAGCGGGTTGCTGGTCTCCACGCTTGATCTGGCTGCCTCAACATAGCTGTATTTGCTCGGGGCAAAAAGAGCATCTGGTCCAGGACCTGCCCGTGGCTGGGAGTGGGTGTTTTGGCCAGGCACAAGGAGCTCCTGCCCTGCTCTGCCCGTCCGGCCGTAGGGGCTGTGGGAGCTTCCCGGGATGGAGATTTTATCTGGGCCACGGCATGCACCAGCCCCCGCCTGGAGCTATTCTTGGTGAATTCATCTCATCTCTTTTCAAGCTTATATTTTTATTCTCTGCAACCCGCTGTGGCGGTGAGAACCACAGTGTAACCCTGCCCTGTGTGGAAAGTGAAATCCTTTTGGGTTTTGAACCTAATGATTACTTTGGGTGCCTGCTAGCCCTTTTGCTAGGAGAAACAGCGAGCGACCATTTGCAGTTCGCTGGTGTGGCGTTATCTGCCTGTAGACACCCAGGCTGCGATTTTTTTTGAAGTACAGGTCTCCCTTTGAAGCCACTCTTCCATCTGGTGGCTGTGCCCACATCTGGCTCCGTTTCTGGAGCTCTGTCCCGCTTCGGTACCCTGCAGAAGTCTCTTAACTGCAGATACGTTAACATGCAAATGTGCCTTGCGCTGCTCAAGCTGAAAAAGCAGATCTTGCTCTAAAGAGATCACCATTGATAGGGGGGTTTCCCCCCTTTCTCCTGTTCGGAGGTGACTTGCTGCGATGCGGCGGAGGATGGCTCAGTGCTCCCAGCCCCGTTGAAAATCCAGGGCTGTTTAGCACAGCTCAGGGCAAATGAGCTTTTACTGCAACTCTTGCTTCTTAAATAACGTACCGCCTCCAGGCAGATCTTGTATTTTCCCATTTGCATTTGTTCTTCAAAATTACCCTCCGGTACCTGATCTTTGTGCATCCAGCTGCGGGCGTTAACGCTCGAGTATGAGATTCACGTGGCTTTGACTCTCATATAAAATGCCTTCCCCCACGGGACCCCGCTGGCATGCGCATTTCAGACATGCAAGGGCTCTCGGTGCAGCGTGGTGAGCAGATAAATAAGGCACCGAGGGACGAGAAGCAATAATCAAATGAAGCCAGGGGTCCCCAGAGTGGGATGCACGTGCTGAGGCAGGGTCCAGTGCTGCTCATGTTGTTCTCTGCTCCCACCGGCAAAATAAGTTGGGGGATGCCTGGGAAGAACTCCGATGCTTGCTCTGTTCCCGGCAGTCTCCAATTGCAGCTGATGCTGGGTAACTTTGTATTTTGCAGCCAAAGCTAGACAAACAGCCAATTTTTCAGCCTGCTTTTGGTAAACGTTACGGCAAAATCATGCCGGTTCCTTCCTTCACCTCTCCCTTTCCAATGAATTCTTCTGCCAGGTAATCGCAGGGAATTGGGAATTGCAGATACTGGATGCAGTAGTCAGTAAAACTTACTTCTGGGGGGAGAAAATCCTCCCAGACTTGGCTTTGCTCTCCTTTCCAGCTTCTCACACCTAGTGCGGCTCCCCGCTGCACGTTCAGTTGTTGCACCGTGGGTTTCAGACGAGGATACAGCCCCTGTATTAAGCAGCTGGAGACTTGTAAACATGCTTCCTTCTTTTTTTTTTTTTCTTTTTTTTTTCTTTTTTTTTTAAAAAGAGAACTTTGACTTGTTTTCACTAGTTTTCTTAATTACTTAGGCATGAGGGTTGGATGTTCCTGTTGCTCTTGAATGAAAGAAAAGCGTCCCTGATGAACTCCAATCTGGTCTTGCAGATCTTGGTTAAAACGATGATCCGGAAGCGATCCTTTGGGAACCCGTTCGGGGGGAGCAGGAGGGAAGGGCGGTCGTTGTCTGCCCCTGGGAACCTGCTGCCGTAAGTCTCATCGCCTCGCCTCGGCCCGAAAGGATGTTTGCAGCTTGTCTTGTGCTCTGGAAGTCGCTGCAAAGCACAGGAGGAGAATTCGAGGAGTTGGGCTTTGACTCTTTCATGTGGGGCCATGACTGGGGTGTTCACACACCCTCTGTCTGACCTGCAGCTCCTTTGTGGGATTTTTTTATGACATGGTGTATCCTGCCCCTCTGATGGGCTGAAAAGCATCTTTTCCTGGCACTTCCAGCCTGTTACAGGGGAGCTGGGGGGAGACCACACGTGCTCAGGGCCCCACAGGTCCTGTGGCGGGGAAGGGGCAGGTGCTGGTGTCTCATCATCTGCTTTGCCTTTTTCCGAGTTGCTCGGCAACTGTTTTATTTCCTTTTAAAGCAGGAAACAAGGCAGTGAAGATAATCTGAAATGCAACGACTTGCCCAACGTGGGAGAGGAAGAGCTTCTTTCGTGAACATCGACTTTATGGTTCTGTTGAGCAACTTGGTCTGGGGCGCGTTATTAAAGCGTGCAGCTGAGGATGAGTGACATTAACAGAGCCTACACCAAACACAGCATGACATGGCGCGATTTCAGTATAATGCTGGATGTAGAGCTTACATAGCAGCACGTTATAAGACATCCGACTACTTGTCATAAACATTGAACATCTCCGATCACTTGGACTGCTGACTTCCTGTGGGAAAGGTGCTGGCTGATAGCAGAGAGGTGAGATACCGTGTTGAGCAGCAACAGTGCTTTGCAAAAAAAAAAGAAAAGCAGTCCAACAAAAATGCATTTGGAACTGCTTTTACCTGGTTTTAATGCCAAATAATTTCTGGGGACTAATGCCAGCGTCCCAGAGGTGTCGTATGCCCATCACATGGTGGGCACATGCAGAAGGGTGAAGCTTTTGCCAAGTGGCATACACAGCAGTAAAACTACACGTATGCACTTTGAGAGTTCACGACCTACCGGATATGTTGTTGCATCTATTTCTTGTCATTCTGGTTTGTTTTTAATTGACACCTTTTTAACTGCATGGGAACAAAGCAAAAAAAACCCCCACCTTTTCAGCTTTTTAAAGAATGCCTACCTTTGTGAGCCAAGTTGTATTAAACAGCATCTTCAGGATGTTCAGAAAGTGAGGCTAATTGCCGTCTAAGTTAATTAACGCCTTTCCTAAGGTCTTGGTGTGACTAGAGCTTGGTAAGTTGAGTATTCAGTGTATGAAAGGAAAACGGTATTTAAGGGCTTAAGTTCAGACTGAACTATTTTTGCTGCAGACATACGAGTGAACGGTGGTGTTTAGCTGAATGTTTGTTTTGAACAGCAGAGGAAGCACTAACAGTTTGTTTCTAAATCTTTTACTTGATCTAGGTAGATATATTATTAAATATGAAATTCAGGGTAAAATCCTTCACTTCCATGTACATTACATGGTTTACTACAATCAAAAATAATACAACTTATGCTATTTTTTAAGTATAGACTTAGGGCTTGCTTAGAATTTAAGATCTTGATGAAATACTTAGATTAGCTAGTACTTTTCAAAGAAACTTTTGTTTTTCCAAACTCTTAATCTGGATTTTGGGGCCAATGCTATGTATTTTTTGCAACTTCGTTACCAGTAATTTGTGAATGCCTGTGGCTCAGAGGCTTGTTAGTAAATTAAGTGTATACCTAATTCACGGATTGTTTCTTACGAAGAGCTCTTTCACCTTCAGTCAGATTACTCTGATTATTTTGTGGTGCTTGTAAAAAAATAATAATCTGTCGTGTGGTGGGAGAGGTTCTGACGTCCAGACTGACTTTCCCGAGTTCTCTGTGCTCGGACAAAGCTGGAGAATGGCAGAACGTGGGTGAGCTGGAGAAGAGTCAGGGTTTGCTTGGGGAAAGGGGTCACGGTAAGTACGGTTGTTTTGTGGATGGAGCGTTGGACTGGGGCGGGGGAAGGTCTGATCTCTTCTCAGTCTGATGTGGTTGTGTGACCTTGAATGAGGCATCTAAAGTTATGGTGTACCTGAAAGAGGGGGATGATTCGAATGTCCCAAGCATGGAAGGGACTGCTAAGGCGTAATTCTTTGCCCTGAGGAAGAAGGCACTAGGAGAGACCCAAGTATTTTTGGTTAACGGTAAGATCTCTGCCTGCTAACCCTGGCCACGGGTGCCCTGCCTTTAGGAAGTGACTGTCCCCTTGTCTTCCTTGATCTTGGGCACTGCAAGCAGCAGAACGCTGAGGTCCTTGGCCCTGCTGCAGTCGGACCTAGCCCGGTAATTCCTGGTTAGGCTGGGACTTTGTTAAAGCCGGCGTAGCGTTAGCAAGTGCGCAGGTGCCTACACAAACTGTCCCTCACATCTTTTGATCACTTGAAGCAATGCTCCCCCTAAATCGCAGTTTATTGCCGAAACATTGTGCTGCTGGCCTCTCCAAAGCCAGCGACGATGGTTCGTGGTTTAGGAGCAGTACTACGGAGTTTGGAGCCATAAGACACGCACTGTTTTCTTCCCATTTTAGTCCGAGGCTATGCCAAAGCCCTGCAGCTTCAGCTATGGGAAAAACCAAACAGGTAACTTGGGTGCCAGCACTATTACAGCTGCCTGCTCCTCCTTCCTAAACAGGACTTGTCATTGCGGAAATGCGTGCGAGCGGGCAGCTTGGTTCTCTAATCTTGTAAATGGACTTGTTCTGCGAAAAAAAAAAAAAGGGGGGATCTGATTATTTATAGCTGATGCATAGTAATGTGTGTGGTGTGTTTTGTTAAAGGTGAGTTGTAGAGATGCTGTGTGCTGCGTATCTCCGGTGTGTGATTTGTCAGGTGCCTAGCGTGACAGTTTACATTACAAACAGGCTTGCCAGGTGCAACACAGCTTCTGAACAGAATAAGCTTTCCAGTTCCTTATTGGGCCTCAGATATGACCGTAGATCAGTGTCTCACGGCTACCACGGGCTTGGTTTGTAAACATCCTAAAGCTCAGCACTTCCCAAAGGATTGTCTCTGGTGCCAGCTTCGGTAGGGCTGCAGCGAAATGCACATTTCTGAAAGAAAGTCGATGTAGATTTTTTTTTTTTTTAATCTTGTTGATTAGTTCTGTTGAAAGCATAAAGCGTGGCTGTGTAAGGAAGATCTATCTTGCATGACCTGTTAGAGAAGCTGTACTGTACATATAGATCTGCTCAGTTCCCTAGCTGCTGTTTCTTAGTAGTAAAGCTAGCTTTTTTTTTTTCTTATGGTGAAGTAAACATTTTGCTTGTGCCTTGGAACTGGGCTGTAGCTTGATTTCCCCAACTCCCTTCCTTTCAAGCAAGCCCAGTGCTGACTGTAGGCTTAATGCTGGGTACTAAGCCTTTTTGGCTCTGAAAGCACACAGGAAAGTGCTAAGGGGAAACCAGGCCTCTTGTCTTGAGTAGTTTTTCTCAGTGGTCCCCTCTTACCTATCAGGCAATCGATCTGTTTCTTTTCTAAGGGCCTGAGCTATTGCTGATTTTTATACTGTTTGTTTAATGACTGAGGCTTGTGTTTCACTCCTACCCCTTTATTATGCATTTAACTTTATCAGGTGTATCAAGTTTAAATACTGTGTATTTACCACTTTTAAATTATATTACCTAAGAAGAAAGAAAAAAAACAAAAAACAAAACCAACTAAATGTTTTTCCACACAGCTGTTCAAGCTTCTCTGTACAAGTTGAAATAAATGACATGCAACCAAACCCGGTTAGTTGATCATATGGAACCATTATCCTGTTTGACTGGTCTTTATCAATCTATGAGAGTTTGCTTTGGAAGAGGAGTCTGAAAGCACCCTCCAGTTTAGTGAATTTTGGTGCTCTACCATTACTGGGGATCTTGGGCTAGGATGAGACCACAGTGGCTCTAGCCCCTGCGCGATCCAAACTGAGCCATTCACATGCACAGCCTGGAGCGCCAGCTCTCGGAAAGGCACCGTTTGAGTTGTGACGCTCAGCTTAATGCTCAGCAGCAGGCAAATAAAGCATAAACTAAAAGGATACTGCTGTAGCAAACCCACCGTGCTGCTGGAAAAAGGCAGCGAAGCCCCAGCCAGGATGCTGGAGGTATGGAATAGGACCCAGGGCTCTGTAACACTAGAAAAGGTTCAGAAAAAGGGAAGAACTGTACCATGCGTGCCGGTGTGATCACAAGAGATGCTCAAGGCCATGTGCAGCTAAAAGCCAACAAATTCACTTAAGCCAAATTATGTAAAGCCATTAAATGCAGCAGCCCAGATAGTGGGTCTGGGGGTGGAAAGCATGGGAGGTCTGCCAGTTGGTACTAGCGTTTGGCTGAGGCCATGCTAGGCGAACCCACCCTGGCCTCTAACTGTCAAGTCTTTTCCCTTGGACAGGGTTTTAATGCAGCAGACACAGACAAGGTGTTAGGAGAAACAAGGTGGAGCAGAAGCTGTAGTTGCAATCAAGAGGCAAAGCAGACAGCAGCACTGGCTTTGATAGCTCTCCAGTAACAGTTGCGATCTGTGTAAAATGAAGACAGGTTACTTGCCCTAACCTTCACGGGCCCTGGGGAAAAATAAACCAGCAAAACCCAGCTTGCAGGACTCCCAAGAGGGCTGAGAGAGAGTAATATTTTATTAAAAAGAAAGAAAATTTTAAAGTAGTGCTACAAAATTAGACAAAACAGAAAAAAAAATAATCTGTAACCAGTAAGCCATTTACCATAACACAATGGAACCAGACACTGCTTTGTCACAGTCTGTGGCCACTGGAGCTTGGAGACACGATTAAATAGTAGGCACAGGCTCAGCTAAGCATCACAATCCTTCAGGGCAGGGAAAAGTGATTTGACAACAGCAAGGAGCTGCTCTCCCAAGGTTAGGCAACACCTGGCAGGGCCACGCTCACTGTAAGGAAGAATCTGCGCCTGTTCCCCTGTGCTCTCTGCTACCTGTGAGCTCAGGGAAAGGAGTGTCAAAATGAGCAGTCCCTGTCCCAGGCTTACCCAGTGCAGAGGGCCGGCATAAAAGCACAGTTCTCCCTATGTCCTTAGTGCAATTAACCTGGAAAGACAGCAGACAAGGAGCAGACCCAGTTCTTCTCTCTGGGGTTGGCTCCAGCCAGCAAAAGTAGTGAAGAGTAGTGAAGAAGGTCCCTTTCTCCAGTTTGTTCCCCCCTTCCTTCCAATGAAGAGGGGGTGGGTCTCATGGCAGGGTCAGAGGAACGTTCACAGCAGCAGTTCGCAGCAACAGTTCACAGCAGCAGTTGGTGCTGTAGCAGCAGGAGGTCAGGAGTTTGTTCCGTATGTCTCATTGACTCCCTGCAAGGATCAGAGATTAGAGTTCTCTGCCAGAAGACTCTTCTTTCTCCCCCTTCGTCTCCCATAAAACCCTCTGCACAGGCAAGCTACTCTTCGCTACTCAGACTTTGCATTTCCAGTGCCACAAGGCCTTTTGATTCAGAAATCCACTCTCTGCAGCAACACTTCCCACCAAGCACAGGGCTGCAGGGCTGAGCTCTACCCTCAGCACCTGTCAAGCAACCCCACTACCCCACTAAACCCTTCTACTGGCCAAACAGATCATTTGGAACCTGAAGGGAGGCGTAGCTGCGGCTGTCAGCATACCAGTCTCAGAAAATACCAACCCACTGGATGCAGCAGGAACCCCCAAAAGCCAAGAAGGAAGGATTTGATGGGGACAGAGCTGTTGTCTGCAGCTCTTGGAAGGCAAGTGCCAAGGACTGCAACCCAAAAAAGAGGTGTAGTGGGAGCATGAAAAGTTCTTGAACACACATTTCCCTCTCCAAGATCGGTTGCCCAGGAAACATGACAATATTTGTTTCTAGTGCTCCTCCCTGCAACAGCTTTGAGGTAAAAATGAGCTTCTGTTTCCTCAGAGCTGTGGTTCAAAGTCCCTGTTTGATGTGGACTTTCTAAATCATGTTTCAGAATCTCTCCAGAGTCAGAAGAGGAAGCAACTTTGACTTCAACTCTGCCTTCACTGATGCTTACCCGTTCATAATCCTCCACATATTTGTATTTCTTCTCCCGATAGTAGTATTTCTTCTTCATGCAATACAGAACAACAATGTCACACAGCACTGTTGCCTAGTGGAGATTGAAAGAATTTAAGACAATGATTCTCAGAACTGAGGCACTAATCCAGAATCGAGTCCAAGTGCAGACAGTGTCACTTACCACACCGAACAGCGCTAAGCCAGAGCCGATGTTAATCATTGTAGGAATTATATCAAATTTTCCTGCCTAGAAGACAGTTATAAAAGGTGAATATGTTTTTCCGGCACCTCTGAAAGCTGTCACCACAAGATCCCCAGGAATTAAGTCACCCTACCTTTCCAAACACTATGATATCAAAGCGGATGCCATAAGCTTTGATAAGCGTCCGTGATTCAGTGCCATTGCTATCCTTGTAGTATTTCGCAAACCTGGAGAAAAGATAAGTCAGAGCTTAGCTGGAAGTTTTGAGGTTGCTTATGCGATCATGCAACATCCAGGTGTGTCCCCCATCCCAAGAGGATGGGTTGAACATTGGTACTTCCAGAGACAAGCCCCAAATGATGGAGGGGGATTTCATGCAGGCAAGCACATATAGGAGAAAAGCCCAGAACAGGCGAATTTAAGACAGCAGTTAGCACAGGCCAAATCAGGAAACTTGCAAAGCGTAGGAAGGGAAGAAAGTTAGCTTTAGTAGGGGAGCAGAAGGACAGACGGGAAGAAACTCAGCTACACAGGAGAAGCAGCCCCCTCAGCCAGAGGCAAGCAGGAGGCTGCAGGAGTGCAGGCAGCCACGAGAGGGCAGGGCCGGGAGCAGGCAGCGAGGGAGGCAGCAGGGCTCAGCCTGGCACACGGAGGCTGGTCCTTGTCCCGCACAATGTGACTCACAGGCAAATGCTAGGGAAAAGGGACGAGACCAAATAAGTGAGATCAGACTTACTCCGCCACATGGTTGACTAAGCCAGGAGGAAGCAGAGAAGGGGGTGGAAGAGAAGAGAAAGGATTGGTAAGGGGCTGTACCACGGTCTGGAATTAGCAAGAGCACTTCAGAACCCGCACCAGCTGCGCCGCGCTATCTCCAGCTGGTCTCGCCTGACACCCCAATACCTGCAGGCCCAGCACCTCCCGAGCACACGCCTGTGCTGTCTGCATGACAGCAGCTTCTCAGTGAATTCATTCAAGTTCCACCACAAGAGATCCCCTGTGCTAAGAGAGAGTTCGTGATCCTAGAAAAAAGCACAGCCCTGAGCCGTGTTTCCTCACGAGCAGGACTGTTGCGAGGATCTTGGCAAGGTGGCCAATCCATGTTATTATAGCTCTGAGCCCGTGTGCAAGCAGCTACCTGGCTCTGCGCTGGTGGTTTTCTTGGAGGTGCTGGACCTATCCATACTGGCCAGAATGTATATGTGGTAGCGTATGCCAGAAGGATACTTCTGGTGCAGATACGGTCTTCAACTGACAGAGCCGCTTCTAGAGGTTAGTTTTTCCCTCCTGCAGAGTGAAGGAGGTGCTTCTGTCTCCCACCCCCACACCCCAGCCCCCTCAAATCCTGCCCTACCAGCACACCCTGAAACAGTCAGTTCTCACATTGCCATGCCACGGGAGGCTGGCCCACACGGTCACCCAAATGCTGATGCAAACATGACTCAGACACTCTGACGCAGTCAGCGGAGCTTCATTCTCCTTCCCCCTCTGCTGTGGTTTGCACACAGTGAGGATCTGACCTGCTCTATGTTTTACAGCACCAGGGAAACTCTCCAGGTTTTACAGCACCACCGAAAGTCCAAGGACTACCCGCAACTGCCAGAGGAGTGCAGGCAGCCCGTAACACCGTGCCAGTGACGGACTGAGCCGCAGGGACACCAGCTGCCCTCCATAGCCACATTACCTGAAGTTGTAGCCAGGCGAGACGGTGTGGGCAGAGTCCCTGTTGTCGAGGCGCCGGAAGGAGTACTTTGGCACACAGTGGGAAGCAGCTCTGTCAAGGTTGCAGTCCCAGTTGATCTGCAGCGCCATGACTCCACCCTGCCAAGTGGAGGAGAGAAGGTGAGCAGTCCAAGTGCCCAGCCAGCCCAGCACTAGGCTCTCTGCTGACCAGGACCCTGATTTACAGGCCCTCATCCTAGTCCCAGTCCAACACACTTTCCCCCTGCTACAGAAGGACCTTGCGCATAACCCCACCCAAACAAGCCAAGGCCAAATATTTTTTAAGTAGAATTGACTCCGGTCCCTCTGGCCAGAGCAGCTCTCCATTCTGCAGCTACTCTGCATCCTGTGGCTCATGCCACAAGGCAGAGGTGGACAACCACCTACTGCTCCTCTTCTACACAGCTGAGGCCCAAGAGAAGGGTTTGTCAGATACCTCCACAGCCATTTCCTGGAAGTTCTGCCCTGCAGCTTCAACTATTTTCCCTAAACGAAAGATAGGGCAGAAGGGATCTGTCTGGGAGTCATAGATGCAGTTCTTGAGGTAGGTGGAGTTGATAGTGGGGAGGATGTTTCGCCTACAGGGGAACAGAGAGAGATCTGTTGCATCTTCTTCCACTCCTCCAGCTCCCCTTTACTGTCCAAGAGACCAGACAGCGCAATGCCCCACATGCTATTTACTTGCTGAAGTTGAACTTGGGGTACCAAATGTTGTTCTTCACCAGAACGGTGAAGTTCTCAGCTTCTCGCAGGAACGCTGGCCTACAAAACAATAGGAAAAGTAAGTAAGTTTCACTTATATTTTCACAAACAGGACTCTGCAGGGACCTTGGTGACCACCTCTTCACAGCTTTTTCCAATAGTACCTCATAGGGAGAAACATCAGCTGCATACTGCTAGCCTCCTCTCAGGAGGGCCACCACAGAGTAGGAAGACAGAGCACTCACTTGGGTATATGATAGTCTTCCTCCACAGGGCACCACGCAAAGATTTCACAGGTCTTAATGCTGCTGTTGTACGGTACACACTCCCCAGTCTGGATGCCTGGAAAGACATGTGAACGGAGGTACTACCAAGCAAAAATACAGAGGCAGTATTTGCCCTGTGACATCTCCTCACTCCGTAAAGTGAAAGCAATCTGCTCAGAGGTGAACTGCCAGCACCAAGACCCCCATTATCTTCCATTGCCATTTGTAGTGCAGTTTCAGAGAAAGTAGCATCAGGTCTGTTTCCCGCGTCAAATCCTCATCTACTTGAAATAGCGCTTCATGGATTCAAGGTCTTGACAAAGCCCTCACACTGTTTGCTAACCACCAAAGCACACATGTATCCAGCATCCACCCAAAACAGTCTAAGCCCATCTGGCCTCCCCCAGAAGAAAAAAATCTGAGCTTCCCTTTCAGTTCTCTTATGTCTGAGAAAATGAGAACAAGGAGACTGAAGTGAAATGCTGCTTCCTTTGCAGGAGGGAGAGCACAGCACAGAGGTATCACAACACAGACTGAAAGGAGCTCTTGCAGCAGGCTTCTTACCATTGCTGTGGGTGCTGACATATCCTGGAACACAGTTATTCTTCACCTTGCACTCTGTTTTATCATCTGGAAGCTGGAGAGGAACAATAATTACACTAAACTCTACGAACTCTCTCCCCCACACTCCCACCCACCCAAGGGAGGATTAAAGCAGATCCTGTACCTACCTCTGGGCAGCGGCCTTGGTGCTGGTTCAGTGTGAGTATCACATTGGTCATGACAAACACAGTGTTCTCCTCCTGAACATGCAAAACAAGAAGGACATTTAAGAGCGACAGTCTGCAAAGAATATCCAAGGCACTGCCCCAAATGTCTTTGTTGACAGAGCCCAGGTGGCCCCGCAGAGAGGACTTGCTTTGGACAGTGCTGGTAGGGCACTGAAGGAGCAGATTCCTGCAGGTATCGCCTGATGCCGCTGCCTTTAGGCAGAGGAAGGGCTGTAGTGCTAGTAACCCTTTCTATTCTCCCACTTGGCCCAAATTTCCTCATTCACGTTATGAAAACAGAGAGCACACAACTCCTCAAGGGAGTTGCAAGGCAGGAGCAGAAATAAAGCTTCAGCTGCAAGTCTGAGCACAACTCCCGTTCTTTTTTTTGCAATATATCCATTAGAAAATCACCGGTCCTGGTTTGTTTCTCCAGGGAGCACCACTTCCATTATTTTCAGATCTGTACAATTCAGGATCTGCTGTTTGCTTCTGCTCTACTGATATGTCAATATGATCACTCAGCCAAAATCTGGCTACACCTGTCACTTTTTTCTGCACCACAACTCATGCAGACAGAGTGACCCACGATTAGCAGCTTGGCCGTGCCTGCCAATCCCCGAAAGCCACCACATGTTGCCCACGCAGCGCAGACTCCCACAGATGCAGTCAATCAGTAACTACAGCGATACCTCCTGTTCAGTTCCGGATCAAGTGACTTGCAGGCTATTCCCAGGGTTTCTGCCAACAAGTTAGCTTAGATGTTTGCTTTAGAAAGCAGTAAAAAAGAGGACATGTGGTTATTGTTGCAACCTTTTCCTGAAGCCTGCAAAATTCTCCCTCCTATACAAGCACACACAGAGACACGCTTTTCTTGAAACAAGCTTCCTCAGGGCTAGCGGTGCAGGCGCGCAGCATGATCTGCAACAAAGCAAAGCCGCTTCATTCCCTCGTATCAAGGCCACGTTAGAGCCGAAGCTGCTCCAGACCTCAGCGGACTTTGGCAGAGCAGCAGCTGTTCGTTAGAAAACCCTCCCTCTGCACGCGAAAGCGCTCGGTACCTGAGGAGGGATGACATAGTCAGCTACATCCCAGATCCTGGCTCCCAAGGCGGATGTGTTTGTCAGCGTTACTCCTTTCACCTTTATGGTTACAGAACTGACCACAGAGTCCGTTTCCTGGTAGCCCTTCTCCCACACAAAGACCCAGCTGGAGGAGAAGGATTGCAAGAAAGAAACAACAAAAAAACCGATAAACACCATAAACCAGCACAGGGGATTTCTCCTTTTTTCATGTGACACCTGAAAGGGCCAGTCCAGAGAGTTTCACGGCGCTTCCCTACAAGAGGGTCGCAGGACTAGCAATCTCCCTTCTGACTTTTTTTTAAGAGTGGTTTGGCAGGGTGTCATTAGCGCTCTTAGGCA